ATCCGAAAGAAGTGTTCAAACCATCCAACTAGAAGAGTTTTAAGTGCAAAGGAAACCAAAAGACTGTAATGTTACCAACTGGGTTTCAGGAAGGAAGACAAAGTAGTTGTTTATTGCTGGTCATACACAAAACTACTAACTACCAGGCGCTGTAACTGTTCCCTAACTGGTGAAACTTAAGTGCTATAACACTCTCCTCCTCTTTCAGTCATAAAGCCCTTTACAAGGTGAATCTTTTAGGTACTTGGATTTGCCAACCACTTCTGGTGTATTTTTGTTGATTGGTACTGTTTGTTTTGTCAGGAAAGTCTGTTGACTCATCTTCATAGCTGTACATGAATTCGTACCAAGGAGTATGTGGTAAGGTTGTTATCTCTTCTGAGATAGTCACTTGTTGGAAGCTTATTTCTCTGTTCCTTAGGCAAATATCATTTTTATTATGCCAGTGCAGTCCTGAACAAGTCTTAACTAAGACTGATCTTGATGACAGTGTTGCTTATTCTAATGGGAGTGATCTTTGATGTCTTGACTCAGACTGGCTGTCCTTTTTCGAGGGAAGATGTTTTTTGGTCCAATGATGTTTGTCGTAATTTTGTTTCTTCCTGGCTTTGAGAGAATATCCGCCTTTATATGTTCCTCAATGCTTTTCTCATTGAAGAAATTGGTCTGGGGAATGGAAGAGATCCACATTCTCAATTTTCTGTTCATCATTATCTCTGCATAGCTCTTTCTATGTTGTAAAGGAGTGCTGCTATAATTTAGCAGTACTACATATGGGTCACTTGCTTTTTTCAATTGGTTTTTGACTGTCTGGACTGCATGTTCAGCTTCTTCATTTCCTTGTGGATGGTGAGAGCTACTTGTGAGGTGCAGAAAGCCAAGAAACATTTGAGAAATTTAGGAATTCTCTTGCACTGAATTGGGGACCATTATATGAAATGATTATTTCTGGGATTCTATGCCTAGTGAATGTCGATTTACAATTCTCTATTACACTGACTGAAGTGGTTGTCCATAGATGGGCTATTTCAATCCACCTGAAAAAAATGTTCGATTATCAGGAGATATCTGTATTCCTTGAATTAAAACAGGTCCATTCCCACTTTTTGCCATGGGGATTCAGGTAATTTGGTGGGTTGTTGTGGTTCTGGGGGATATTTTCTTTTCTTTTTGCAGATGTTACATCCTCTGACCTTGTCTGCAATTTGCTTAGAGAGGCCGGGCCACTGCACACTTGAGAGTGCTTGGCATTTGATGATACCTTTTTGGAGTTTGGAGTTTGCAGAGATGACAAGTTGAAACTAGTACATTAGGAATCCCTGGTAAAGTGTTAGGCCCTGGTTAACAAACCAGAACTGCTTTACTTCAGGATCTCACCTTGCTGTTTCAGGCCAGTGGTCTATCTTGTAATAGCTGATGACTTGACTGCAGACCCTGTCAGCATTTTGCTTCGGTCTGGTTTCCTCCAAACGTTTGTCACTTACTGAGATATTTCCTATGACTGCACGGATAAATGAGACTCTCTCCATCCTGTTTGATATCCTGTATAACTGTACTACTCCAGGTTCACAGGAAAAAGTGTCTGCTGTAGTGAGGTCTTTTCCTGCAGTGTACATAATATTGTCAGAGAATCTCATTAGCCTCATGTGGAAACGGATTCTTGGAGTCAATTCATCCATTCGCTTTGTTTTTAAAAGTGATTTGTGGTCTGTTTCCACAGTGAATTTTTGCAATCCAATTAAGAAATTAGCAAATTTCTTACAACACCCTGTGATAGTTAATGCCTCTTTCTCAGCCTGTGCATGTTTCTGCTCTGTATCACTCAGAGATCTTGATGCTTAAAATACAGGTCTCCAGTCATTTCCTTGCTTCTAGACAAGTACTCCTCCTAGGCTGTAGCTAGATGAATCTGCTGATACTTTTGTTGGCTTGTTATGGTTGTAATGAGTGAGTACTGGTGTGGTGTTGTTTCTTCAGGGTTTAGAATGCTGCTTTTTGAGGCTCGTTTCAGACCCATTCTGTTTCTTTCTTAAGAAGCTCTTGGAGTAGTTTGGTAATATCTGCTAGGTTCTTAGCAAATTTTCCAACTTGATCTGCCATGCCCAATAAGTGTCTTAGATCACACACATTCTCTGGCTTGGAAAGAACCTTAATGGCATAATTTACTGGGTCTGGAGCTGTTTGGATTCCCTCCTTTGATATGATCTGTCCCAGAAACTTTATGTTGCTAACAGAAAATACACACTTATTGTTTAGTGTAGTTCTGGCTGCTTTCATTCTCTGGAGTACCACTTTTAATCACTAGTCATGCTACTGCTGGTTTCATCCACATATGAGAACATCATCTATATCACTGACTCCTGATATCCCAGACAAAATGCATGTCATCTCCCTATGAAAATTTTTGGGCCCGGAACTTATCCCAAATGGAAGCCATTTGAAGCAGTACCTCCTGTATGGCATTATAAATTTGTGATTTTTCTTGGAGGACAATTTGGTAGAAACTGCTGTTGCAATCAAGCTTGCTAAATATTGTTGCCTCATCAAGTTCAGCCAGTAGTTGATCTGTGGTTGGTAGAGGAAATTTCTCCCTTTTCACACTTTCATTTAGCTTGGTAAAGTTGACACACAATCTGACTTTACTATTCCTTTTTTGAACAGCAACTATTGGGGCACATCAATCTGTTAATGATTTCACTTGATGAATTATGTCCTCCTTCTCCAGACGTTTCAGTTCTTCATGAACTTTCTGTTCAGTGGCAATCTCCTAGGGGTGGTAATGGAGAAGGGCTGAGCTCCCATATTAAAACATATCTGGTACACATGTTCCAGTTTCCCTAGCCCCATGAACAGTTCTGAGAATTCTTCTTCATAATGGTACCCTTTGCTTCTGACTGTTTTCAAGACATTGTGAGCTTTGATTGCTGATCCTCCCAGGTTCTTTCAGGCTCTTTACAACATACAGATCTTGTTGTGAGCTGTTTTTTTTTTCCATGGCCACTGTATTCATACATTCAATGAACTTTATTTCATGCTGACCAGGTCCATATAGTCTTTTGTTTTTTGTTTGGTTGAGTGGGCAGTTTTTCCTGAAATACCAGTCTGAAACTACAGTCATATTTGCACCCATATCTAGCCTAAAATTGATGGTTTTGGTACAAACGTTAGTGGTGACCTTGACCTTAATCTGCCAATTTGGAGTATTGTTCTTGCTGACTAGTGACTGAACCTAGAAAGTGTAAAGTCCCATCTTGCTCATTTATTTCTGTCACTTTAAACAAGTGCATAGTGTCTCTTCTGCAAACAAATTCTGCAGTGTGCTAAGCAGTCATTCCTATTATGGAACGGTAATTTCCTACAACATGTACATTTGTCAGTCATCATTTTTGACTTTGGTCACTGTTTGGAGAAATTATTTTTACAGTTTCTCTTTGTCACCCAGTTAATGTGAGAGTCTGCTGCATCAGCACCAGAGGAAATGGTCTGTGTCTGTTGTTTGGATGTTTTATGAGCTCTGCCTATTTGCAGGCACTTGTCTAGACTAAGCTGTTTATCTGACAATAGCTTCTCTCTGACAGCTTTGTCTCTAACCCCAACAATGACTTGGTCCTGAATAAGCCCTATCCTGTAGCTTCCCAAAATTGCAGTTCTTTGCAAGTTGTCACAGAACAGTTATATAGTTCTTGATGCTTCTTGCTTTTGGAGATGGCATTTGTAAGACTTGATGTTACTGACTGGGTTTTAGGAAGGAAGACAAAGAGATGAATATATCACAGTAGTTATTTACTAATGGTCATTACTGACTACCAAAGGCCATAACTGTCCTCTAATCAGTGAACCTTAAGGGACATAACACTAGAAAGACCACAAAAGTCAGACAAGAGAAATGAAAAAAAGCTTGTATCTCAGTAGGCAATCCAAAATTAACAACCAGACAATTGAGGAGTAAATTCCGTCTTAGCACTCAATTTTCAGTTGATACAGTATACAGAATATTATGAAAAAAACAACTTCAACAGCCGTACAGAAGCAAAAAACCATCATTAACCAAAAAATATCAGAAAAGAAGATTGAAGTGGTTAAAAGAATATCTAACATGGGATGCTGGAAAATGGCAAAGAGTAATTTTTAGTGATGGATGCAAAATAGTTATATTCTAATACAAGATACATCACAAAGATCTGGTGGACACATAATGGTGTGGGGTTACACCAAAAGTGATGGTAGAAGAAAATTGGTAAAAGTTGATGGAAATCTCAACAGTAAAAACTATATTAGTTTGGTACAGTCTAATTTTCTGCCAGACTATGGAGGTGGAGAATTTTTTCAACATGACAGTGCCCCTTGGCATACATTATATGCAATAAAAAGGTTTCTTGTGGATGAAGATGTTTAACTTTTGGAAGACTGGCCAGCAAAAAGTCCTGCTCTTATTATAATTGAACCATTGTGGTGTGAAAACCAAGCGATCTCCAAGAGCTAAGAATGGGGGAAAATTTCCAGTGAGAAAATCTAAACCTGATTCCATCCAATGCCACATCAAATTGAGGCAATTATTCAAGCCAAATGCAGCAACACTAATTACTAACTCCATATTTTGACTTTTTTTACTCTCTGTAATGATAAATATTACTTTTTGCAAAAAAAAGCTGAAAAATGAAATTTTCATTGATGGACTGGTATTTTTGCATAGCCTTTTTTCAGCATCACTTTACTTAAGATGCTATATCACCTTATATTTTACTTAAGATGCTATATCATCTTATATTTTACTTAAGATGCTATATCATCCACCATAACAGCATTAACAAAAAGGCAGTAATTTGTTTTCTAACCTTCAGAGATCATAAAATATACTGAGAAAAGCACACTCTGCTAATTACTCTCAATTTTGGGGTAAAATTAACAAAAGTAATTTACCAAGATAGCCCGAAGGTTTTGCACACTAGTGTATGTACATATGTCTTGAGTGTATTAAGCCTTTGCTTTTTCCATTGCAGACCATCATATGATTGGATGCGCTGTATGTCTGTTCGCAATCCCTCCATTCGACATTCCAGAAAAGTCTCACTTGTATTTGACCATCTTAAACCAGAAGAACTTGCTGAACAACTCACTTGTCTGGAATATAAAGTTTTTCGCAGAATAAATGTGAGTTTCTCATTTTTAAATTGAGGTTAGAACTGACTCACTGTACTGTCTCTTCTATCATGTTAACACTTAAGAAACAATAGAAGTTGCACCAAATTTATTAAATAACATTTATTATGTTATTCAATAGATTTATTTATATTATTATACTTTAGTATCACTCATTTTGTTTTTTAAATATTATTTTTAGTAATAATATTTCTCCAAACATCATCAAAAATTATATTAGCAGTAGTTTTGACTGTGTGTATTTTAATAGAAGACAGAAAATGTGACACCAAAACCAAAAGGTGCATTGGAATATGGCAGTAAATTTCCTCACAGATGAAGAAGAAACTTTAAGCAATAGAAATGTGGTTCTGCAGAAGGATGCTGAGAATATTATGAACTAAATATGTAAATAATGACAAAGTTCTAGAGAAAATGGAATAAAAAAGGATACTTATACTTAGAATCAGAAAGAGACAATTCAAATTTGTTGAGCACATAAGGAAAATTTAACACTCAAAGGACATACTGAAGGCAAGAGTTGGGACAGAGAAAAGCAGTGCTTAATATACCTAATGAGTTTGTTAAATGGTTGACAGAAAATAGATTAGAAGAGATAGCAAAAAGACAAACATTGCTAAGAGCTACAAAGGACAGGAAGTTGTGGAGAATCATGATCATCTGCATCCTGAAAGGACACAATATATAGAAGTAGTAGACATATATATGAAATACAGATATGGATAAATAGAAAATCACTTAATTACAACATCTCACTTGGTTAAATCAGCAAACATGGCCACCATTAACTTATAACAAATGATTTGACAATTACTAACTTTTTAAAAAATGTTGACACTTTTTTTATGGTTAAAAGATTTTGTGTAGGATCACCAGTCACAATGCATTTTGTTTTCATTTAGGTTGGTTTCAAAAGGACCAAAATGCCTAAACCATTTTTTGTCTATTAAGAACTATGAAGCCATTGTCACTCACAAATTTTTGAGTATGAATCTAGAAAAGTGAGATTTAGGTTTTATACTTTTTATGTATTAACTTTTGATGCTTTTCAGTTCACAGACTTCAAAAATTATGCTTTGACTGCTACCCTTAAAGACAATCCAAAACTTGAACGATCCATAGTTCTGTTTAATGGACTTTCACAGTGGGTCCAGTGTATGGTGTTAAACAGAACAACACCAGCACAAAGAGCAGAAGTCATTGTGAAATTCATCAATGTGGCTCAGGTAATTTGAATTAACTTATGTCTCTATAAATTTCCATCTGAAATTTGGATAACACTATTTTAACTAATATTTTATAATTTGGCTGTGCATTAGAAATTCAGAAGTAATACTTGTCAACTGTCTACCAATATCAGAAAAAATTGTTTGGAAATAATTGTGTTTCTATACTCTTAAGAATAAAATTTTGTATAGTTTTAGATATATCTATGAGATGAATTAAGTCAGATTTATACGAATTTGTTTTCATGCTTTTGACTTTGATAGGTGAGCTGAACAATTGTTACTCAGTAAGGTTTTTATTGTAATCATTTCTTTTCTGTATTTTCATAACAATAAATGCAAAATACCATATATAAATTCATTAGCATTGATTGTAACTTTATTTCAGAAACTTCGAAGTCTCCAAAACTTCAATACACTGATGGCTGTGGTTGGTGGTCTCACCCACAGTGCTCTAGCTAGACTTAATAAGACTAATAGTTGTCTTTCATCTGACACACAAAAACTCCTCATGGAACTTACTGAATTATTATCAACTAACAATAATTTCAGCAATTATCGCCGGGAATACCAACAATGTATTGGTTTCAGGGTGCCTATTTTGTAAGTATTTTTTCAATACTTCACTCATCCAAAAGATATTTAAATACTGATTATTTATTATACGTCAGTTTTTTAATTGCATTGATATATTTTAACATCTAAAGGAGATAAAGAAGTAATGAAAAAAAAAAAGGATTTGCTCAGTTTGTAGAGGAGATATGTTGAATGACTGAACAAACTGATAGATTACTTGAGAATAATCAATATGATATGACACATATAATGATATGATAGTTAAATTATCTAAATTAAGCACTGAAAATTTTGGTAATGTTAGTTACTTTAATGTGAGTCTGCCATACAAGTTAAACATTAAAAAAGATGGTATGTGCAATTCACATAATGAAAATACTCTGCTTTTAAAACAAATTGTAACAGATGATGAAAAGTAGATACTTTACAACAATGCTCAAGATGATGGGGTTAAATTAAATAAACCATCACTTAACATACCAAAGGACAAACTTCATTGAAACAAGATGAAATGTATATATGATTAAATTGAAAGCATATTTTCTTCTGTGAGCTCCTTCCAGAGAAATTACCAAACAATTGATTTGTACCACTATTACTCACAATAAGTTAACTGAAAGAATATAATAGTATTGATAATGTGAGAACACATATTTATTTGTTGACTGGGTAAAAATTATGAGTGCTTGTTTTGGAAGTTTGTGTCTTTGGATTATAAATTATTCCAATATTTATGAAAATAATTTTATTTCCTTGGAAGACTGAAAAAGCTACCTAGAGAGAAAGATAAGAATTATGATGCTGGCTAAAATATGGTAGAATGTGCTGTTCAATAAAATTAATGTTAAAAGTAAAATTCTCATATTATGTAATAAACTGAACAAACTCTCTCTCTCTCTCTCTATATATATATATATATATATATATATATATAAAATATGATTCAATAACTTATGCCAAGCAATATATAAAGATCTGATGTCATCTTCAGTTGTACACTCCAAACCTCTGCAGTAATCAAGTAATGTATTGACAAAAGGAAACTTTTGGGAATTTAATCTTGTTTCTTACCTATTCCCCAGGAATATAAAAATTCTTGTTAGTATTAACATTTTATAAATAATTAAAATGATAACAACTACAATCTACATGCTTTCTGTGCCCTTATTTCTGAAGTTTTTATTTGTCCAAAACAGCCTTAAGCAAAAACCTCCAGATAGCCTATCTCAGGCTGGCCTAACTTTCTGAAGTGAAAGCCATATTGCATGTCTAAAAGAAGACTCTACGTGGTAAGATACTTAACCAATTAGACAGGGCAGGAGTTAATTCAAGAGCACATTTCTTAAGGACTATTGCAGGGATACCATCAGGTTCACATGCATTATGGAGATCCAGTTTAGGGATGATAGCAGAAAACATAGACGACAGATAGAAACCTCAGAGAAAGTTCTTAGCTGAGCTAGTTATTGACTACTCAGGCGATTTCTGTACCTTTTTACCAACCTATTAAAACCCTTTTTATTGTTACGTGTTATTTGGCGTTTGTCTCTACTAACCCCAAATCAACATCATAACAGTGGCGACGAGAGATTCGTTCATCACGCTGAGTGGAGAATTTTTCAACTCTAGGTGGACTATATAAATTTTTTTTTCTTGCTCTGAAAAAAAAAAAAAAAAAAAAAAAAAATACGTCGAACTTTGTTCTTCACGAAGAAATGGGATTTCAACGTGCCAAAAAGAAGTAAGACTTGTGCTTATTGTGGATATATACGTGTTTTTCCCTTTTTGTCTGTTTTCGAAAAGTGTTTTGTGTAATCTATTACGCATAATGGAAGATTTGATTGCATTAACGAAAACTCTAGTGCAAAGTCAAATTCAGCAACAAGAGCAACAAAAAATTGTTTCGGGAACAACTATTGGATTTACAAGTTCAGCAGCGAAAATGACACAAAGGCTTTATATGAAGCGATTTTACTTAAGAATCCAGTAAATTCGTCATTCACAGCCGAAGGTATTGCTAATTCTATTACTGAGTTCAAATTTAACCCAGAGGAGGGCATAACATTTCCTGCGTATTTCAGAAGATTTGAAACAATATTTGAAAAAAAAAAAAAAAGAAGGTTGGACTGATGAACAAAAAGTGAGTTTACTTTTACAAAAGTTGGGTACAGATGAAAATAATAAGTATACGAATTTTGTCCTTCCAAGAAAAACTGGTGACATTTCTTTTGAAGAAACTGTTAATACTTTATCTAGTATTTTTGGCGAGCGAGTTAGTTTGTTTCATACTCGTTTCTCGTGTTTGAATATGGTAAAGCGTGACGATGAGGATGTTGTTACGTATGCTGGAAATGTTAACAGAATGTGTGAACGTTTTATGTTACATGATCTTTCAATTGATCGATTTAAATGTTTGATATTCGTTCAAGGCTTGACTTCTAGCAAAGATAAGGACATAAGGTCCCGAATATTGGCAAAACTCAAACAAAATTCCGAGATCACTTTGCAGAAGGTTACGGAAGAGTGTCAAAGAATTGAAAACTTAAAACATGACAATACGCAAATTGAAGAAAAAGACGTATCCCGTGTCCATGCTATTCGACCAAAAACGGGAATAGTTAATAAAAACGTTAAAAAACCAACGTGCTTTGGATGCGGTGGTCATTTTAAAAGTGAATGTTTTTTTTTTTTTTTTAAAAAATTGCTATTCATGTGGCAATAAAGGCCATATAAGTACTCATTGTAAAAGTAGCAAAAGAAAAAATTTAAGTCGAAAAAAAGATAATGTGAATATTGTGTTGTCACGTCAGGAGATTGAGGAGGGGCAGAAAAGAAAATTCGTACAGGTAAAAATTAATGGAAAAAATGTTAAACTACAGCTAGATACTGGAAGTGATATTTCCATTATTAATACAGCAACATGGATTAAAATAGGCAGACCTTTGCTTAAAAAGACTGAAAAAGTGGCTCGCGGGATTTCTGGAAGAAAATTGCATTTTCAAGGTGAATTTTCTTGTAATATTTCATTTGTTGGTAAGACACTAAAGTCTAAAGTGTATGTGCTACAAAATGCTTCAAATTTGTTTGGAACAGATTGGATTATACTTTTTAATTTATGGGAACTCCCTATAAATTCTTTTTGCAATAGAATTAATGTTTCTTCTCCATGTAAAAATCGGGTTACAGAAAATTTGGTGAAAGATCTGAAAATAAAATTTCCACAAGTATTTTCAGAAGGTCTTGGATGTTGCAAAAAGACGAAGGCAAAATTTGAAGTGAAGGAAAATGTAAAACCTATTTTCAAGCGAAAAAAAAATGTGCCATTTGGTGTTTTGGGACAGATTAACAAAGAATTGGAACGGCTTGAAAATTTAGGAGTTATTTCACGCATTGAATTTTCAGAGTGGGCCTGCCCTGTTGTATATGTTAAGAAAAAGAATAATAAAATTCGGATGTGTGCCGATTTCTCTACGGGTCTAAATGATTGCTTAAAAGACCACACATATCCTTTGCCTTCACCAGAAGACATTTTTGCAAGTTTAAATGGAGGAAAAATATTCTCTAAATTGGATTTATCGGATGCCTATCTCCAAGTGAAAGTGGACGAAGAATGTTCTAAATTGTTGACTATCAATACACACAAGGGTTTATACAAATTAAACCGTCTGCCTTTTTGGTTTAAAAAGTATCCCCTAGTATTTTTCAGCAAATTATGGACACTGTGCTGGCAGGGTTGGACTTCGCCATTGCATATCTTGATGATATTTTGATAAAAAGTAAAGATCGAAATGAACATTTGGAACATATTAATCAGGTTTTTGAAAAAATTGAAGAATATGGATTCAAACTTGCAGCTGAAAAATGTGAATTTTTTATGAGTGAAATTAAGTTTTTTGGGCAGATAATAGACTCTGATGGAAGAAGACCAGATCCGGCGAGGGCAGAAGCGATCAAAAGCATGCCAACTCCCAAAAATGTAGTAACGCTACAAGCGTTCTTAGGACTTGCTAACTATTATGGGATATATATTCCTAATTTGTGCAGCCTTACGGCTCCATTAAATAAATTGCTTAAAAAGGGAGCAAAGTGGGAATGGTCAGAAGTGTGTCAGAAGGCGTTTGACAAAATAAAGAATATTTTGACGTCGGAATTATCACTAACACATTATGACCCTAAACAGGAAATTATAGTGGCATCGGACGCAAGCGAGTACGGAATAGGTGCGGTAATTCTGCATAAATTCAGAGACGGCAATACGAAGCCAGTGGCACATGCATCAAGGACATTATTACCCGCAGAAAAGAAGTACTCTCAAATTGAGAAAGAAAGCTTAGCTATCATCTATGCTTGTAAAAAAATTCCATAAGTACATACATGGAAGAAGGTTTATATTGCAGACCGACCATCGCCCGCTGCTTTCAATCTATGGTTCGAAGAAGGGTATACCTACTCATACGGCAAACCGTTTGCAACGATGGGGAACCATTTTGTTGAATTACAATTTCAAAATGGAATTTTTATCATCTAAAAAATTAAGCCATGCTGATGGTTTATCTAGACTGATCCCAACGTCTTCGGAACCGCTAGAAGATACGGTGATAGCGTCGTTACAAGCAGAAAATGAATTGGTTGAAGTAATGTATAACACAGTAAAAAGAATTACCGGTGACATTAGATGAAATAAAATTAAAAGCAGAAAACGACATTTTTTTATTAGAAAAATGAAAGAAGTTGTAACTTCAGAAAAGTATAAAACTTCTTCACCAGCATATTCAATATGTGATGAAGTGCTGTTATATGCTGGAAGGGTCGTGATACCGGTTGTACTACAAAAGCGGATTTTGAAGGAATTTCATCAGGGGCATCCTGGTATTGGACGTATGAAAGCCCTGATGAGGAGTTACATTTATTGGCCAAATATGGACAAAGACATTGAACAGGTAGTTAAAACTTGTAGAGGGTGTCAAATGGCAGCGAAAGCACCGCCAGTAAAATACACACCATGGCCAAAAACAGATGTTCCATGGACCAGACTCCACATAGATTATGCTGGACCCATGAATGGTAATTTCTACTTGATAGTTGTGGATAGCTATTCCAAGTGGCCTGAAATTTTTAAGTGCAAAAGACCAACTGCTTCTGTAACAAAAGATTTTCTTACAGAACTGTTTGCACGTTTTGGAGTACCAGAAAAATTGTCACCGACAATGGAACTCAATTCACAGGAAGTGAATTTAAGACGTTTTGTAAGACTCTGGGAATTGACCACATCACGACTTCACCGTACCATCCTAGGTCAAATGGACAGGCTGAACGGTTTGTTGATACGTTCAAGAGAGCCCTTAAAAAACAAATGGTACTAATACAGATGATGGTAATATACAGCAGTTTTTAAGTATATACAGAATAACACCAAATCCAAACGCAATATCAGGGATGTCTCCAGCTGAACTGATGTTTGCTAGAAAAATTAGATCTGTATTCAATAGGCTGCTGCCGGAAAGAAAAAAGAGTTACCAGAACAAAACGCATCAGGAAAATATGAAATATCTCAGGCCGGGAGATAAAGTTTTTTTTTTAAATTACAAAAATGGGAAGGAATTTTGGCAAGATGGAGTGGTAACTCAAAGAATTGGTAAGATGTTATACATGATAAGTAAAAAATGGACGCACAAAAGACATTTGAACCAATTAAGGAAAAGAATCATTGAAGAAATAAGTAAAGAAAATGAAGAACCAATGGAGGTATTATATGATTTATTCGATATACCAACTCCACCATTGCCTGAAACAGTTGTCCAAAGAAGGACAAGCAAAAGAAAAAGAACTAGGGTGGAACGTTTAAGTCCAGATCCCAAAAGAAAAAGATATTAATTCCTCCGAATTAATCTCAAGGGGAGGTGTTGTGTCGGAAACCTACACCCCTCTTGAAGATGAACTTGTCTGCGTCTGTGAACAAAGACTTTAAATAGTGGCATGTCAGTTGACATGGGGAAGACAGATAGACAGAGAAGTTCTTAGCTGAGCTAGTTATTGACTACTCAGGCGATTTCTGTACCTTTTACCAACCTATTAAAACCCTTTTTTCATTAGTTAGAAGTTTAAATTAGTTTTATTTGGCGTTTGTCTCTAAACAGAAAACAATTGGAATAAAAAAAATGAAAAATCACAGCCACTGATCCGGTCAGATCATCAAAGCATTAAGACAGTTATATTATCATGGAAAAAAGGAATTAGTAACCTACATACTAAACAGAAAACAAGGAATAAACCTCTACTCCTGTTCATAGGAGTGTAGTCCTGGCAATAGGTAAACCTTTCTACAAATTTCTAATTTACATTCCCAATTAGCTATTTTACCTTTGTTCTTTTTTGTACACACATTATTGAAAGACAATTGAAAGTTTGTTTCAAACTTGTTCTGTTTTTCAAGCAGAATAATCATTTTTATCAATGATGATTCATCTTTTCCAAACTATTTACGTTAACTGCTTCTTTACAAATACAGTCAGTCCTCAAGAAAATTTTCAGCACTGATATATTTACTTCATACATGTAAATGAAAGCAGCTCAAAACAACCCTTTTTTCTGCAATATCATCCACTTTCATGCTTTTTTTAAATATCCACATTCAAACATTGTCTATCTAATATTAATTATGAATTGATTCTTATACAATGTATAACATTTTTTGATATATAAGATACTGAAATAAATAAAAAATGCTATTTTAGTGCTTTTTAGTATTTTGATATTATGACAGGTTGTGGCAGTGGGCAGTCTACCAAATAGGCATTGGATAAGTTGCTGTGAGCAAAAATATTTTTTTTAAATATTTTAGAAGTCAGCACATACAATAATATAAATTTGGAAAGTATTTAGGTCTTATTTGATAACAGATTATAAATGTATATTGGATTTGGTTGTGGGACTCAAATATGGACTATTTTCTTTCACTTACAAGAAGAGAGTATAACTTCAAAGTATACTTAATAATTATCTGCTAATTACTCATAGTGTACAACAGTTTTTCCTTAATTATTTTCATATAAAAGTTGTGACTAGATGCAATTATAACAGATTGCAATGAATAAATGTTCAAGTTTATAATTCTTAATTTTTTGCAGAGGAGTACACCTTAAAGATTTAATCTCATTACATACAGCACTTACAGACAAGGTAGATGGTGCAACTACTAGTTTGATTCATTTTCGTAAAATGGTTCAGTTATACCAAATCTTCAAAGAACTCACATGTTTACAGAATGAAAATCTTCCCCTTGATGCAAATATGGATCTCATCAATACCCTTCGGGTGAGTAAATGGCAGTAACATGATGTAGACAAAATTAAACACGTTTTTTTCTTATTCATCTCATTAAATCATCATATTAAACAGAAATTAGATTAAAATGCAATCAAAGGAAATGGAAATATTATTTTTAAAATAACGAATACATTGTTGTTCATCAGACATCCCCAAGGAAAAAAATATTTTCAACAGGGCAAGATGAAAATATACTTTAAATTAAAATTATTTTATTTTTGACCATCAATTTTCAATGCACACTGTTACATCAGTTGAAAATATTAAGATCATTAGAAAAATTTATGCAAATTGAAATCTTGTTGATCAGAAAATAGTGATGAATTTTATCAACCATGTCATAGCAGTCAATATCACCATTAATACAACCTTTATGAAAGAATTTTTTTACAATTGTTAAATTATTTACATCCTTTTTATTAACAAGACAAATGTAGTATTATTAAGATCATAATAAAAAAAATAGATTCACTTATAAAGTATTTTAAAAAACCTCAAATTAGAAATTTATAGTTTAATTTAAATATCAAATAGGGAAAATAAAACATTCAATAAAATTATTGAAATATTAAAATGTGTCAAATATAAATATTGATTTTTCTCTTACCTACTTTATGCAGTTAAACAAAAAGTAGACAGGCATGTGAGCATATTGGCTTAAAAATACCCTGGCATGTTGGTGCATGCAAAAGGTCAAAATACTTCCTGTTCAAAATAATTTCTTGCAACTTAGGTAAAGAGTAGTTCACTTTACAAGAACACAAGATAACTTCTCAACTGCAATCACTACAAGTTTAATACATCCCTTAAAATGTATTGTAAACTTTTTTTATTAGCTTTTTAAATATTTCCAACATTTTAAGTGTCATTGATGTATTGATATATTCAATATGAATAACACAATTACAGTTAACACACATTTTTCTATTGCCAGATTTAAGCAAAAATGTGCAGATATGAGAGGAAATTTGTTTTTGAATACCGTATATAATCACGGATAGTTCGCCCCACCAGATAGGTTGCACCCCTAATTATGGCTTAATTATTGATGATTTACTGTTGACTCACAGATAGATTGCACTATAATCTGGGGAGTTACACAGCCCTTTTTAAACATAAGAATTACCAGATATCTACCTTTTATTTCTCTTTTTCAGATCGATTTCCATGTTCTTCTGCATAGTTTACAGCTTCTAATTTAAAACCTGCTTCACAACTCTTTCTTTTACTCATAATTAGGGATTTCAACAATTAAAATTATAAACTATAAATTTGGCTACCAACAATATCACTGAGCAATGCAAAATAATGCAAACGTTTTGGGTACTATTCATGTGCTTAATTTTTTGTAAATAACACTTAAGAACACCTTTTAATGTTATATGAAACAACCATTAAAGAAAATTATCTCATAAAGAATATATCTCATTTTTTTAAGTCATATTTTCAAACGTATTTTTGACTAAATATATATATTTTGCAGAATGAATCATGGGACTATTTTTTTCTTTGTCAATCTACACGTGGTTCCTTAACTTATGTATGCATGTTCAGGATTTCAATATCAGTGAGGGTCCCAACTGAACAGTGACTGATGGATCAATGAATATTTTGTAATTTTATTTATTTATTATGATGGATTATGTGAATCTAGCAGCATGAGGAAAGTTTAAAGCAGTGAGTCAATATATATGATAGATAAATTGTTTATATACAGAGAAAAACCACAGTTTTATTGTTTATGAGTATCATTTCTGATTTCTCAGAAATCATGATGACAAGTTAATGTTGTTTTACATTTATGTCAAGTGGATAGGTCACACCTCTAATATTTTGTGAAATTTTTGGTAAAAAAAAGTGCAGCCTATCCGCGAGTATATGCGGTATTTAAAAATATATTCTAGTTCATTTGTATTTGATAAGTAGCATCAGTTTAATTTTTTTAAATTAAAAACTGTTTTATACAAAATGCATAATTACTTCCCCTGAATAATGTTTTTATAATTAAAAATGTTATTCAGGGGAAGTAATTATATATGCTTTATATTATACCAGTTTCTATCTGTATTTTTGTTAAATATTTTCCCTAAATTTATTTGATTAATCAGAATTAAAATCAAATAATTACAATAAATATGATTAACTGTTCAATGGCTACTGATGAAAATGGATTGTAAAAAATAACTTAAAACTCTTCAGTATCTGTATATTTCTGTATTATGTAAACTATTTACATTGCTCAGACTGTCATCCTCATCTTTGTTGCCATATTTATCACAACATTTCGGCTGTTATACACTCTGGCCTTCTTCAGGTGGTTGGAATGTCGAACTGAACTTTTTATTTCGCTTTGCTGGGTAGACTGTTCTAGTTCCGCGTGTCATGTTTAATGGATGTCAGTTATCTCCTGTTAAATCCCCTTTCCAAGTTCTCCACTGCCTTAACCAGGTATTAAACTTACACTCTTTGGGTCCTTAACTAACTAACGCCTTTATCCACTGTGCTCTGTGTCTGGACACATAGCACAGTGGATAAAGGCGTTACTTAGATCCAGTGACAGGACCCAAAGAGTGTGAGTTCAATACCTGGTTATGGTGGTGGAGAACTTGGAGAGGGGAATTAACAGGAGATTACTGAGAACTGACATCCATTAGACATGGTACATGGAACTAGTCTACTCCAGCAAGCGAAATAAAGGTTTCAGTTAGACATTCCTACCACCTGAAAAAGGCTGGAGCGTACCATCACCGAAACATTTAAAACTTTGGAAACAAAGTTTATTTTCCATAAAGCACAGATTACAAGTTTTTTTTGTTTTAATTTTGTTTGTTTCAGTTATCACTTGACATGCACTATACAGAGGACAATATTTATGAGTTGTCATTGGCACGAGAACCAAGATCTTCATTAAGTGCTGTAAGTTTCAAATGTTAACATTTTATTGTACAATCTCACTTCTGTTCTTCATTTTTGGCTAATAATTTTTTTATCTTAGAGCTTTGAGAAACATTTTGATAACAATTTGTAATATCATCTATCTTAATTTTTATTGAACAGATATTGTTAATGTAGTGGATTGGTAAATAGGATTGTGCCTATTTGCATATGTTAAGTAAAATAGAAAATACAGTGTATACTAAAGTAAGAGACAGGCAAATGTTGACTACTGACCCATGTCATAATACAATAGAAATAATGGCATTACTGATAAAATGTTTAAGTCACTTGGATGAGCCAGAATTTGTCAATACTTGGATCTGGTATTTTACAATCCATCCTAGGGTTAAAAAATTGAAAGTCAACCAGGCAAGATGATGAGAAAATGAAATAACAAACCTCTTTCTAGCTTTGGCAGGTTGTGAAACTATAATGGAAATTTATGTTATGACATAACCCAAACAATTGGAGAATTTGACTTTTGTTGAAATTTCAGAAATTATAAAAGGAAGTTTACAACCTTAAAAGAAACTTGTCATCACAGAAAGAACCAAATTTCTGCCCGTTATACAGAAACAAGATGAATCAATTATGCAATATCTTTACAGAAGTTAGAAGATTCTGTGAATTTGAGAAACTTGGAACTCAAGATTTAACAATTGAGGATGAATTGATTCAATTACAGTTTATTGGCTGATACATTTCATAAATATAAGATATTGGAACAATTACAATTGAATAATTTGTTTATAACTGCATGTGTAGAAGTTATAAACAGCTGAAATTGATAAAAAAATATAATTCTACTGAGGACAATATTGAAACGTATGGTATAAAAAAAAAAGAACACAAGAAATGCAAATACTGTAAGCATGAGCATGAAATTGACAGTAAAATTTGCTCCACATTTGGAAAAATTTGTCATAAAGTGTGGAAGAAAAAATCATATTCAGTCTGTATGCAAAGTTTAAAATAAAATATACAGTATAGAAAAAGTGGATAAAGAAAGAATTGATGATGTTTTTCAATACAAAGACCTAAGGAAAAGAATTCTTTCAAAAAAAAAAATTAAATTAAATGGCATGACATTTCCAATGCAAGTGGATACAGGGAGTGAAGTTACTCTGATCCCAAGAAACTTCTGGGAACAAATGGGTAAATATTGATAAAAAGTTGAAAAATTGAAAAAAAAAAATCTGAAATTGAGACAATTTGATGGATCTTTTGTAAAAACTTTGGGATACTTCAATGTAACTTTTGAAACCTGTGACCAATTTGAAATTATTCCCATTACAGTCATGGAATGTAAAAAAATTCATAGACTACTTAATAGGCATAGATGTTCTAAAGGTGGATATGTCTAAACTAATCATTAACGTAAAATCAGAAAAAATAAAGACAGGAGTGTTAAAGGTGAGTATAAATGAAAATAGAACCCCCCCCTCCTGTTTGAATCTTGTAAATTACCTATTCACCTTATAACTATGGTAGTTCCTAAGTTAAAGAAAATGGTAGAGGAGTGAATTTTGGAGGATGTTCCTTCACAATAAAAAAAACCTCATACGATTATTAAGATGAACAAGATTGCCTTTTGGTGTGAAAATAGCAAGTGCCATTTTTCAGAGAGCAATGGAAAACATTAACTGATGCAATCAGTAATATGACTATTTATCAAGATGATATTTACCTTGATCCTACCACTAAAAAAGAATTAAGACAAGAAACAGAACAAGTTAAAAAATGCAAGGATGACAATAAACAGAGACAAATGTGAATTTGATTGTGATAGAATATTATATTTATTGTACCAAATTTCAAAAAATGGCATTGCACCAGATCCAAAGTTAATTAAGAAAATTCCTGAGGTATCTATACCTACCATTAAAAAAGACATAGAATCCTTTTTAGGCTTGGTTAATTTTATAATAGATACCTACCAAAATATAGCAACTAGAACCATTTACGGAACTGCAGAAAAAGAATAGTTCAAATGCAAAGGCAAAGCTTAATGTTTAAGGATTTAAAAGAGATACTCACAGAAAAGCCCATTGTAAAAAATCTTTCGTTCCAGAAAGGAGGTTATGTTGACTACAGATGTGAGTGAGCGAGTTGTGTCAGCAATTTTATTACAAGAAAGCCATCCAATAATGCACCTTTCAAGACTGATGACAGCAGAAATAAATTATTCAAATATTGAAAAAGAAGCATTGGTCATTATCTGGAGTACAGACAGAGCTTCACAATTCATATTAGGTAAGAAGTTCTTATTAAAGCCATAAACCTCTAGAGTTTATTTTTAACCCTAGAAAGGAGCTGCCATAAGTTACTTCTTTCATAAAATGGGCCATAAAATTAATGGCTTAAGATTTTGACATTGAGTGCATGGAAGGAAATACAATAACACATGTCAATGCACTGTCAAGGTTACAATTTAATAAGGATCAAGAAAAATGGAACTTCTAGATGAAGAGATATTACATTGTCTGAAACTGACATATTATCTCTACAAAGCTTGGTATCAGAAATATTAAGCAAGATTGCTGAAAGAATAAGTAGAAACAAATGGGGTAATTGTTCCAAAGCTGAAAGACCTGATAAAGAAATAAGGCATAAATTAATGATGGAAAACAGTGTTATATGCAATAGAGATGTGATAGTACCACCAGAAACAGTATAAAAAGATATTTTAAAATGTGTATATGATGATGTGCATTGTGGGATAACAGCTGCACAGAAAAATATGGAGGTATTATCGAGATAGGAAAGATAATGTACACAAATGTTCAGAAATAAAGAATTTTTTGACAAAGGAGAATACACTCATGTCCTAAAGAAATGGAACCATGGTCTCATGTTGATGTGAAGCATGCACACATTAATGACATAGGTCTATTTCTAATATTATCAGACTCCTTCTCTGGATGGCTGAAATCATTAATGTTAAAGATAGAAAAACAATTACAATAAAACAAATACTGAGAGTGGTATTTTCTAGAAATGGGTACCTAAAATATTAGTTTCAGACAATGCACCAGAATTTTGTGATGAAGATCTATGTTGAGGCAAATTGACATCACCCACAATCTAATAGGATTTTAGAAAGAATGGTACAGACAGTAAACATGTGATTAAAAGCATTTTCCCCAGAGATACTATAGATGATTACTTATCAAGATTACTGCTTAATTATAGGACAATTCTAAATGCAGACAGATTGCAAAGTTCATCTGCATTAATGGAAAGACAATTAAGATCTTCATTAACAATATCTTACTCAATAAATGAAAAGGTGTGGTATAAGAAAGACAAAGGTGCAAGTCCTGAAAAAGCCTAATGGCCCATTCTAACCAATTAAGACCCAGAATTGAAGAGGAAGATGTTGTGATGGAAGAAAATCTTGACAAAGAAGAAAGGATGAGTTCTTCAAATCAGGATAATGAAATAAAAGACAAGCCTATAGATGACTGTGGAAGTGACTCTGACACGGAAGATAATGAATCGAGATCAAGATCTCCATTAAAAAGAATAAGATCTAAACCTCAAGGAAGATAGGAGAAAAGATGCTATAGAAGAAGTTATTAAACCACTTTGGTTCAAAGAGGTGTAGTGTATTGGTAAATAGGATTGTATCTATTTGCATGTTAAGTAGAAGGGAAATAAAGTGTATAGAAAAGTAAGAGAAAGTCAGAAGTTGACTACTGATTGTGTGTCATAGAACAATGCAGTACAACAGTTAAAATAAATATTCATACATCTGTTTATATTTTAGCCAGCTACTCCTACCAAACCTGTAGTTTTTGCCGACTGGGTTGCAGGAATCAGTCCACCAGATGCTGAAACTATAAACAAACATGTACATAATATGGTAGAGGTAAGATGAAATATTATAATTCAGAAAGTTTTATATGCTTACATTTATCTGTGATCGAAAAAAAATGAGATACTGTTCAGAGCCTAATTAGTTAGAACTTTTTAAATGAAGTATTATCATTATGATTTCTTATTCAGACCTGCATGCTCATCTTGGTTGTTTCATTGACATTTCAGTTATTATACCTGTAGTAGAATTATTTGAGAAAATACGTATTGCTTATCAGTAAGCTTTAATAAACTTTGTATATCAGCAGAGTTCTCCTGAATATATATGCCTTCAGGACAGATCCATTAATGGGGGGAGATGGATCATACCACATTCTCCCCTGCCTTATTCTTACAAAAGGAAGGAAATCCCTGAATTAAGCAGGCATCCTTTGCAAAGATGTGAGACTGTGGTGGATTCTTCCTCTTTCTTAATCCTGCGGCATTTTCGTAATCATCTATGAGTGGCTTGCTCATCCTCTGAAGTATTGGTAGGTAGGTGGGCTCTCTTCTGTGAAACCCATTTATCACCACTTGCGATTCTTTCATAGTGTTGTGTGGCTTTTATGACTTTGATGGTGCTAGGTTTATTTTCAGCACAAGTCTTACACAATTTGGTGATTTCTTTCCCATATGGGTAGGGAAGGTTTTTGATTTTCCTCATGTGCACCATGCATGTAACAGCTTTGTAGTTTCTTTAACTCTTCTTTGCAAGCAGCCGATCTACATACAAAAGTGCAGGCATCCACAGCTGTGTTTTCTTTACTGAGGCAGTACATTATGTCAAATGAGTAACACAAGAGTTCCATTCTCCACCTGGCTATCTTCTCATTTTTAATTTTGCTTGTTGTTTTGGGATTGAACATGAATGAGACTGATTTTTGGTCTGTAATTAATTTAAAATATTGCCCAATCAAATAATGCCTGATTTAGACAGAGTTCTGGAGAAAAAGGCTATGAGTCTCTTCAACTATCTTAAAGAGGCAGTTATGGTGCATTCTGAGGTGTCTGTCTCTATTACCAGAGGTAGTGTATGATTGGGCATAGTAATGGCTGCTTTTGCTGTGCTCCTCTTTAACTTGTTAAACACTTTCTCTGCTAAGGGAGATAACGGCAAGTTTGATACTGTTGTTAGATGGTGGATTTTGTATGAAAAAGACTATATCTAATGTGAATAGTATGCAAGCATTCCTAATGCACAGCAAAGAGAGGGTAAATCTTTTGGTACTAATAGGCTGAATAATGAATTCAGATGTTCTGGATCAGGTTTTATGTTGTTTTACTTAATATGTGCCCAAGTAATTTTATATTTTTACATCTAAAATAACATTTGTCTTGGTTAAGCATAATAAATAATTGAATAATTTAAGATTTTTGCCATGTTCCACTAGGCTGATTTTTATCATGTTCTGACAGCTGATTTTGATTTAGACAAACCAAGCTGGAATGAGATTAGGGAGGTAGTAAAAGCAGCTAGATCAGCCTCAGCTCCTGGACAGAGTGGAGTTCCATACAGTGTCTATAAATGCTGTCTGAATCTTCTCCAGCTCCTTTGGAAGATACTAAAGATAATTTGGCATAGAGGTAGAGTTGCAGACCAATGGAGATTTGCAGAGGGTGTATGGATCCCCAAGGAAGAATACTCCCGAGATTTAGACCAATTCAGGAGTCTCTTTATTGTGCACCGAAAGTAAGATCTTTTTCAGGATTTTATTGTGGCGCCTGACAAGATTTCTTTTGGTTAATAATTACATTGACACTTTAGTACAGAAGCAGAGAATTCCAGATTTTCTGGGATGCCTTGAATATACTGGAGTAGTCATGCAGATATTAAGATAAGCTAAAGAAAATAAAGGCGACCTCGCCGCATTGTGGCTGGACCTTGCCAACACATACGGGTCCATTCCACATAAATTATTAGAAGTAGCCCTAAGGAGATATCTTATACCCGAGAAGATCAGCCAATTAATCCTGGACTATTATAACAATTTTCAAATGAGAACCACTTCCAGGTTTATAGTTTCCAATTGGCACAGACTCGAAAGGGATATTATTACTGGCTTTACGATCTCAGCTACCCTATTTACCCTCGCTACAAATATGGTGGTTGAATCGGCCAAAGTCGAGTGTCGAGGCCCTATGATGAAGACAGGAGTACATCAGCCACCAATCACAGCCTACATGGACGATCTGACCATCACAACATCTTTAGTCATGGGGAGTAGGTGGATCCTTCATAGACTTGAAAAGCTTATTGCTTGGGCAAGAATGAGTTTCAAGCCTGCAAAGTCAAGATCGTTAGTTATAAAGAAGGGAAAAGTAGCAGATAATTTCAGGTTCTTAATATCGGGAACTACTATCCCGATGTTGTCAGAGAGACCTGTGAAGAGCCTAGGTAAAACTTTTAACAGCTCCTTAACAGACACTTTATCCATATGAATGATGATCTCCAAACTGGAATTATGGCATGCCAAGGTGGACAAGTCTGGATTCCAGGCCATTTCAAGGTGTGGATTTACCAGCATGCGGTGCTCCCAAGAATTCTCTGGCCTTTGCTTATCTACGATTTCCCAATGACATCAATGGAAGCCATGGAAAGGAGGATTAACAGCTACCTTTGCAGATGGCTGGGGCAGCCAAGAAGTCTGAGTAGTGCTGCACTATATGACAAATCAAATGCATTTCAACTCCCCTTTAAAGGGTTGGTGGAGGAATTTGTAGTCTCTTGAACAAGAGAATTCCTACAGTATAGAGACTCTAAGGACCCAAAAGTGCCGGCAGCGGGCATAGAAGTCTGCAGTGGGAGGAAATGGAGTGCAGGGAGCAAACAGGGAATTGCGGAGGAGCATTTAAGGCAGAAGGCTCTCATGGGGACAGTGACATCAGCTCATGCAGTCTTGGGCTTCTTTCCTGGTTCCTGAATCAAGAAAGCTAGAAGTAAACAGAGATATGACAGCTAATTCAAGACGAAGTACAAGCCAACGTTGAGGGATGAGCGAATCACCATCATGCCCACTCTGTGCCAGGAAAGGTACACTGAAACACATTCTAACTGCCTGTCCAAGGGCACTTGGTGAAGGGAGGTACCAGTGGAGACATGATCAGGTACTTAAGAAATTAGCCAAAGTAGTGGCCGCAGCAATTAGCAGTTGCAGTTGTAAGCCTGAAACGAAGGCGATCTGTTTCGTCAAGGCTGGTGGAAACTTCTCCACAGTGCGTAAATTGTCAACCTGCATGCTCTCCTCTGCCCGAGATTGGCAGCTAAGAGTAGACCTGGGGAACTAGTTGAATATCCTGAAGCAGATAACAACATCGTCCCTGCGCCTGGATTTATTAATCTGGTCAACTGTCTCTAGGCAGGTCATAATGCTTGAACTTACGGTACCCTGGGAGGAGAATTTGGAAGAAGCCTTTGAAAGAAAGCTGGAAAAATACCAGGAGAGATGCAGATCTAAGAAATGGTGGACTACCTGTCTCCTAGTTAAAGTTGGATGCCATGGTTTTGCAGGAAGATCAGTATGCAGTGGCCTAAGTCAGCTTGGAGTCAGGGAAGTAAAAAAAGAGAAAGGCTATCAGAGCTTTCTCAGAAGCTGCAGAAAAAGCCTCAAAATGGCTATGGATTAAAAGATCTGTTCCATGGATATCTACAACGGAGATGGGTGGGCATTGAGGTGCAGTTGAGAAAGAAAGAGGGAAATGCAGAGGGATGACAAAGTCGCTGTTTGAAGGGAGGGTCTTTTTTTAATGACCTTTTCAATGATGCCATCTTGATGTTCCTGGTGTATTTTTTTTGTTTTTTTTTTTTCCTATTTGGAAGGGGAAAGAGGAGGAGTGTAAAAGGAAAAGCAAAGAAATGGAAAGATGAAATGGTGATGGTGGGAAAAGAAAACAAGAAACATTTCTGATCATAATTCCTATGACCAACAAATGTGTTTGATTTTTTTTTTTTTTTTTTAAGCAACACTTCATAGGAAAGGAAACTTTTTTGGCCATTACTTACCTGTTATGTCAAACTGTTCGTTGAGAATGTGAGTCTTTCCGCATGTTAGACCTAAGATGGAAAAAAGACAAGCATGCTATTTAGCCTCTTTTTGTATTGTCTTGGCTGAGGAGGAAATGACGTAAGTGGTTAATGATTGGTTGTTTGTGATTTCAAGATCAGCAGTGGTAGTTACTTAATGTGTCCATTTGTTGTGTGCTTGGCAGATTTTTCTGCTTCAGGATTGCCTGCCGGAATAGTACTGTTTCAGTAGGGTCTCTTGGGCGAACAATTATGATGTTGCAAGACCCGAAACTTGTCATGACCCCAAGTCATAACATTACTGACAAGGTGACCCAGTGCACTTGTTAGAGTGTTTTCATAACAATAATTTAAGATTTTTGTCATGTTCCCCTAGATTTTCCCCATAAATATTTACATTATCAGTGTAAGAATAGGTGCCTTCCAGGTTCTCTTTTGATATTATCTAGTCTATCACTCATTGAAAGCTAGCTACCTGTTTATTTACGCTAAACAGTATTCTGCAAAATTGATAGAGTTTGCCGCTGACTTCAAAGGTCATATAGAGTTTATCGCTGGGCCTTACCTGATGTTAGGCATTTTAAGGTACATCTATTGTTGTCAAAGAGTAGGCATCCAGCAAAGTAAACTAATTTATATTCTGGGAACAGTCAATTACTATTCACTTTTTTCTGTTCTCAAAGGAGACTATGAAGGCTTGGGCTCTCCACGGAAAATGGCTGGGTTCAATTATTCCTTCCTTCAACATACAAGTAACTTCAATTTGAATAAATAATTTAAGCTGTCCGTGTGTCACCTAGATTTAGTAGCTACCAGTTTACAATCTGGTGTTAAATTGTTGACAAGAGCTGGGTACAGCATTCTCATAGCAGTTAGGCCGTAGACTTTAAAGAGTGGCTTAGAGCCTCTGAAGGGGATTTCTGCTAATGAATGTTGGTGTAAGAAGTTGTGCCCTAATATTAGGTCGCAGCATAGATCTTTCATTAGTAGACATCTTACTCCTTAGTAGAGAGTACCCTTTACTTGTAGATCAACTAAACAGTATCCAAGTATTTGTATGGAAATGAGCTAGTCATCGCCACTTTGTTTAGGCATGGGTAAATTTTCCACAATGGAGGGGGAATAGGTGAAGAAGTATCTGTATCATAATTTTTAGCATTTTGTTCTGCTAAATTTAGTACTCTTGTCTGGTCCTAGGTCTGCTGTAATGTTAAGGTGCTGTTTTCGAGTATTCTATGTCAGATATCCATGGACCATAGCTCGTTTATGAAGGCATCTTGTATCTATTCAGCTCAATATTGTTCCACTAATACCAAAGAAATTGAACACTCTTTACTTAGTTTTATCAAAGCTTGATAAAATCTGTCAGTGGAATCTGAGGGCAGTTGACGTCTTGTAGCCAGTAAGTGTTTAGAGACCATTTCATTTTCCTTTTTAATGTAGATCTTGTCCAGTATTGTTAAATCCTCTTCATAGGAATATGTGTCCGTGAAATACTTGTAATCTTGTGCTAAGACACATCTGGTGAGATAGTGTAGCTTATTAGAACTTTGGTTGCAGTATGTAGTCAAGAAGTTCATAAAAATTACTCTCCAGTGAAAATATTCCAGTTTGACATCAGATGTGTTGGAGTCAATAATAAGTTTCTCTGGACAGAGTAAATTAGCCATTTTCAAAATGGTTAACAACAAAAGTGTATTAAATTGTAGTAGAATTGTTTGAGACAATGTGTATTGCTTATAAGTAAGATTTAAGAAACTCATATCAGCAGAGTTGTCCTGAATATATGTGTTCAGAACTGATCCATTAATACTAACCCTCCAACCTTCATCAGGTGTCTCTCTTTGTACTCAATAACCTAGTTGGGATTTAAAATCAAACTCCTTATTCAATCTGCAGTATGATTATATTCCCGGCTTAAATTTATGTCTTTTCTTTCTAGTTGTGGAATGGCATTGCTACCATCTCGGTAGTACTGTTAATTCATTCTGTGGTCACTTTGCAGGAATACATTTTATAACAGAATACTTTCTTCAGTTGTATTTAGTAACTTTTTATTTTTTTTTTATTTTAGAAAAATAGCTGAAAAGAATTAGTATTCTAGATTAACATTAACCTGAGTTCCTTGCAGTGATTTGTATACTATGACTGGATAATGTAAGAAAACTAAACTTCTTTCTTATTGAACTGACTTTTCCTTGGAAATTGAATTCCATCTGAGCCAATGAATAGAAAAAGGAAAATTTTACTTTTTTAATATTTTAAATTGTTTGCTAATTAAACTTGTTTGTTACAATTTATGGCTCCTTTTCAAGTTATAGAAAAAGAGGATTCTATAAATTATCCTCCTTTCAGAACTAGTTCACATTTGAAGCATTTGATGAAGTATTTAATAAATTATGACTTTCATAAAGACAAATCTTCTCACTTTTAATTTTTTCTCTCCCTTAAATTTACTGAACACTATTATAAGAATGAATATAACCAAATCTGTGCTTCAAAATTATAAATCATTTTTTGTATTTCTTAGTTTAATAGAGATCTAAGAAAAACATTTAATTAATTTTAGAAGAAATGTCTTGTATTGTTGAAAGATTCTTAGAAAATGGAGCATTGGTTATTAAAATTGTATGATATAAGCAGTTATTTCCTAGTGATTTCTATAGAAATTTATTTATTGAAAATCATCAGTTTTTATGGCTATAATGTTATATATTTACAGGCTGTATTCAAAAATTATGACCATGATAAAGATGGCTTTATCTGTAATGCTGAATTTGAGGCAATTGCTGGCAATTTTCCATTTATTGATTCATTCTGTGTTCTTGATGCTGACAAGTAAGTTAAATTTTAGATATAGACTAAAAGTCTTCATTTTATGCCAGTTTAAGATTTAAACAACACAATACAATTGTTACAGTTCATGACCCATACAGTTAACAATTTACAAAATATAAAGTATTTTTAAAAGAATATTCTTATAAAATCAATTTTTATTTTACTTTCCTATTTTTATCAATTGAATATTTTTAGAACAAGCAAAACTCATAGAAACACATACTTCTAACTTGTCACCTTTTACAAAGAGATGTACTTCATAATCTTCTTTGATGACAATTATTTATTTTTATATATTTTAATATCTGCTATTCTGTTGAGATCTACATTTGGGATTTATTTCTTTTTTAGATTTAACATTTTTCAGCTTTTATATTCAATGTATTGAGATAATCCTTGTAAAATGCATTTAGAATCATCTTTAATCACTTTTCCAGAGATGGTATGATCAGTAAAACAGAAATGAAAACTTATTTTATCCGTGCAAACTGCCATTCCCTTCGAAGCAGCTTCAAACATGACTTTCATGAGAAGACATATTTCCAGCCTACTTTCTGTATTCATTGTACAGGCCTGGTAAGTGTGTATATATATATATATATATATATATATATATATATATATATATATATATATATATATATATATATATATATAGAGAGAGAGAGAGGGACAGAGTATGGTGTATGTTACTGCAATTCAAATATGTTATTTCTTCAAGTATCAGTGTTCATATCCTATTTTTAAAATGCTCTTGAAACTTCTATGACTATGGTCTGATAAGCTTGTCAATATGGCATTTACACTCACAATATCTCTTGGAAATTCATGCAACATGTTATATGTTTTCTCAGATTAATTCTTACGTTATTTTTTTTGTCTTAATCTAACAATTTTTTTTTTTTCTCAGCTTTGGGGACTTATTAAACAAGGTTGGAAATGTAAAGGTAAAGCACCTATTTAGTTCTTTGTTTGCAGTAGCCTATGTTTATATTGAACATTTAGTGGTTAACTATATTAATTGCAAAATAGGATTATGATTTAATGAAAATAATGACTTGTATCATTTGATTCAGAATTCATTCTGTATAAATGTGTTATCTGTTCTTGCAAATGTTGCAAAATTTATCTCCATCTTTGTAAGAATTTCAATTGTACAATAAATTTGTACAATTGAAGACTATGAACAAAATATAAATTCATGAAAACAATTAAAAAGATATTATTCTCATCTTCAGAAAAAATGCCTGTTTTGTGTCAAATTTTAATGTTATTTTAACTTTTTACCTTTCTTAGATTGTGCCATTAATGTTCATAAACATTGTAAAGATATGGTTGTTATGGAATGTCGCCCCAAGCTCAACAGTCCACGAAGACATGATTCTGTCTTTAATGGTAAGATAGTTACAATTTATGTAATTAAAAGCCTTTCTTACTTTTTAAATTATGAGTTATGCAAATTAAATAATTTTTTCTTTCTTCATGATTTTCAGGTGAATTTTGATAGAGAAAAACAAATTGATATTTATATATGTTTTTTAATTCCAGATTCAGAATATAGTGGTTATTCTAGTAAACAGCGCATGTTCCATTCTCCGCGTCATTCCAAGTCTCATCAAGGAACTCAAACTGACAGTGATCTGATATTTTCAGACAGTGCTAAAGCTTTGAACCAATCAACAGTGATTCGAGAAGAATTTTATGAAGAACAATCTTTACTCTATGACCGCCTCCTCAAGTCAGAAGAGGTTAGAAACACTACTTTTAGTTTCATCTTTTCTGTATTTAACAAAATATAACATTTAGTAAAATATAACATTTCTGTGTTTTTAGATTTTTATTACAAAATATTTTAAAAGGTAATTTGTCACCATTTGAGAATTTTTTTCAGTTTATTTAGCTTAAAAGCAACTTTAATTTCATTATAACAAAATTCAATAAATTGTAGCTTATTTATTATTTGAATTATCTCAATGGATAAAGAATATGAATATTCCCTTTATCAAATGATAGAAGTAAAAAACTCTTTTGTATATCAAACAAAATTCTTCACCTTGTCTATTAATTTAGAGAGCATGTCTGAATTAATATTTTTTAAGCACACACACACACACACAGATATATAATATTCCCACATTTTAATGTAAGGACTTGTGTGCAACATGCATTTTTATACTTATTAGTATTCATTAATATATATTTTTACACAGTATCAATATTTTTATATGTACTACTGACTTTTCTTATATTTCAATGTATTTGTGTTATAAATACACATTTTTGCATTGTTTCTTTTTTCACTTGTGTGTAATATGTATTTCCTAAACTGATATTTCACAAAAACCATTGACTTGTGCTTACATTATTTTTTATCTCTGTGAAGGAACCATGTATTGAAGAGGAAATTCAGTAAGTTGCTTTTGTTCTCTGCTTGATGTCACCTGTGCCAGATTTGATCCTTTACAAAAATACCTTTCTTCTATCTATCTCTTGTATTTATGAATATTTGCATTGCACAAAACAAGACTAAATGGAAGGCTTCACTTGTTTCTCAGTTCATTTATAAATCTTATCATTGCTTCTACAAATATAAATCATATCTTCTTTATAATACATAACACCCCTCAGGAGTTTCTTTTAGATTCTATTAACTAACAAAACATGAAACATGCATTTCCATGATGATTAATCCATTCATTACAAAGATTATATTTGATTTAAGTTGTTAGTAGATGTAAAATTAAATTCATCCAACAGAAATTATTTCAGCAGTATATAACTTTTCAAAAATATTTTAAGTCTTTTAGCTATAATGTAATTTCTTGGAGGAAAATGTCACAAAGTCAGATGTCAGAATTTGCCAAGCATCTAACTTCACATTTGATGTGTACTACTAAATAATAAATTGGTAATAAATTTAAACTTTAAAATATTCAATATAACATTCTAATGATCTGTATGTTATATTTATCTTAGATAACGGAAAATTATGCAGCCAATACTTTTAATTTGATATATCTACTTTAGATATAATGTTTTTGCTTTCCTTGTTATCTAATTTAAAAACAGTTTTTAATATAATATTCAAATTGTTGTATTCAGTTATAAAGTTTCAGAAAAACAACACATCACTCTGATGAATATAACTAATTTTCATATTCAGGGATTGATCCTGTCTTACCATCATGATCACTATTGAACAAGCTCCAACTTGTCTGAACTCCTTTCAGTTTGAGTGTAAACAATAAATTTTATACATTGTAGAGATTTTACAGATTTTCTCTTGAAGCCAGTCTTCTTCAGATGTTGGGATCTTTGTTGTTTCCATTTGTAGTGATGAATGTGAAAAGAATAACTAATAGAAAAGTAACCAGAAATAGTAAAACTGTTTTTGATCTCTCTCTCTCTCTCTCTGAGCTGTCTGATACAAACTGAAGTTTGTTGCAATGTCAGATCCATGTGTACAGAGCAACATACATTTCATCTAATATAATGCTGCAGAACATGATTTTTGAATCTCTGATCCATTTTGCTTGGCTAATTTTATAGTTTTGAATATAAACTGATAATTGCATTTTAAAATTTGCCTTTAGTAACTACATAGTAATTTGCAATCTAGCTGACAGTTTCAAATTTATTAAGACTTCTGCATTGAGTGTATTTGGATTCAATATTGTGCAATAATTCAGCAAGTCAAATTTGCTTGCATATGTTTTCATTTGATTAGAGATGTTATGGAGGCAATTGAATATGGTTTATTTGCTGGTGAAGAACAAAACTGTTGAAATACAATGAATTAGGAGACATTGTCAAATAATTTCAGTCAGTCAGTAAGAGAGATGATATTGACTGAAAACGGTTTGTCTGTGTAGTAGTTATACTGGTTATTGTTGGACTGTGTAGAATAACTTCTTGCCAATTTAAGTAAGCATCCACAGTCAACAAATAATGCATACCAGAAATTTGTGTATTCTCTTCAGATTACTGTAAATGATTGATTCTTAGCTGTTTGTATACATTGTCCACATTTTTAAATTTTCTTTGATGAACATAACATTGAGCCAAAGCTTTCATTCATCCAGAACCCAAATGTCCAGAATAGAATTGTTTCAGTATTTTATGTTGCATTGAAATATCCAGTCCCCAAAAAGAAACATATGAAGTGCATATGAATTGCCTCTTTTGCAGTAGATTTGATTCTGCTCACCATTGAAGAAGTTTTGTCATCATCCTTGGATATATCCATTGCAATGTGGAATTTAGTTTGTTAGCTGTTTTGATGGTAGTAACTGGCATCACATTAATTACTTTGTTCTGAACTGCTCATCATCACTAATTACATTCACAACTATCATATCCTAATTTTGTATTTGATGAAGCACAATAATAGTGCATCAGGTTAGCCAAATACTTTTGTAGGGTGATCTCAAAATTCTAACTAATGGCACATTTACAAATTTACCATTCGCCTATGCATTGACTACTGTTGCCATACCTGAGCTACTGCTGTACATCTAGAGCTTCTTGACAAAATCCAGAAGGATCTGTAATGTAATTAATCCTGACCAAGCATTTTGACTTCAGTCACTTTCTCACCGACCTGAGGTGGCTTCCCTCTGTCTTTTCTACAAATATTTTCAGGGTAACTGTTTCAACAAGCTTTTTTCTCTGGTACTCCAAATACATGAATTTAAGCATGCTACTAGATTGGCATCCTTTTACTATTGAAATAATGAAATGCAATTACCATTTCTACTCCAACAGTTTCTTTTCCAACCTAATGAAACTTTCTTCTGTTTGCTGCTTCTTTGATAACTACAATCTTCAAAAATTTTAAAGTAATGTCAATCACCATCTTCTGTTTTCTTGAACCCTGTTCATCTTTTGTCCTTTCTTCAATCCTCCCTATTCTTAGTCTTCTCTTTCACTTTCTGTAACCCCCTGAATACTAGTGGCATTACTGCCTTGCTTCTTTTTCTATTTGCCTTAATCCTTTTCTGCAAAATTTAAAATATAAGAAACATGCATCACTGCCTTCTCTGACTGTTCTAGAATGACACAAGAATATCACTCCAACTCTGTAATTAGAGGCATTTGTCACAAATATGATTTTGTGCATTGAATTGTAGTATATGAGAAGTAAATCAAACCTCAGCAGAGATTTGAGTTTTAAAAATGCAGCCCTACATTCTACTGATCATTTCTAGGGGTTATATTTACTGAAGAACTAATGGCTTGAATTATAAGTTTGATTTGGTTTGTTAACTGAGAGATAGGCCAGTTTTTAATACTGACAGAAATTGTACTTTTCATGTGTTAGACATTGAATCCATTGTCTATTTTGTTTGGCTCACAATAAACTTGGTTGCCTAAATTCTTGAGAGGTATGTCACTTATTTTAAAGTTTTTGATCCAATCTGGATCCCAAAAATTTTTCATATGTATATTTTCATCATGTAATGGCACTTATCCATGACTGATACTCTTGATTTGATTAAATGTCTCTTGAATAACAGATTTTTCTATCTAATTACATGTCTTTAATGAAAGTTGATGTTAGAACCTGTGTCCAACAGATTGCACGCAATATAACTTTATATCAAGAGGCATATACTTTCTGTGGAATTATACTCTAATTTGAAAAGAGATTATTACACATTGATTTTGACTGATTTATTATAAGAATTTTAAAATTTCAGATTGATTGGAGATTATGGTAGATTAATATATTATGACTCAATCTATGGTAACCTATGAAAATGCTAAAAATCATCTTTTCACAATTTTCCTTAAGTTTAAAAAAATATTTTTTCTTGTAAAGTTGCTGAATTCTACCCTTTATACATTTGACTAAATGACCATACCAAAGTAAAATAATCTTTTCTTTAAGATTTTTCTTAATTTTCTATTATTTAGATCAAAAACAGATTTATTTTTGAAAAATTTACTAAATTTTGTTCTGCACTCATGACAATATTTATCTGAACCTGTAGTGCTCAGTCTCAGTTTACCACAAATTTGAACTATTTTAATATTTCAATTGCTTTTAGTCATTGAAATGTAACATTTATTAAAATATTTTTGTATTCAAGGCAACTTTGTGACAGAGAATAATAAAATACATGTGTTTATGAATTCCTGATGAATTAATGAGAATTTTGCTTAAAGTTTTTCTTTTACATATTTTATTTTGTCTTCTTAAAGAAAAATCAAAACCATTGGTGGAACCAGCATACAACTTGTCAAAAAACCTGAATATCCTTAAACAAGATAAAATCTCAAACAGGGACAGCAATAAGAAATATATATATATATATATATATATATATATATATATATATATATATATGATTATGTTACTTTTTTAAAAGCATTTTCGTTTATCAGTAACTGAATTATTTAACAGTTATAAAAAAAATTTAATGTTATATATATATATTTATAGATATAGAAATTGTTGCTACTTTTAACAAAAATAAGGCTAAATTTATTATTTATAGGAAAGTATTTTCTACTTGAAAATATTGGTTCAATGCTTTGTAATCCTTACATTTTTCATGTTTTTTTTTATTTTAATTCTAATATTGCCAAAGCAATAATGAGTGCAATAATTGCTATTCCTTCATCTTGAGCTCTCACAAATTTACTTTAATTACTTTTATTTTTACATATGAATTGATTCCAAACAGTTTTTCATTTGTTCTTTTTAAATGACCATATTTTTTAATTTTTACAGCCGATATGCTTTTCATGAATCCTCAAAGTTTTAATTTTTTAGCCAAGAATAACCATTCTTATTTCCTATTGTAAATATCTGTCTTAACCTCTTCCAGCATTCATTAATTATATGTTGTATAACAAAGCTTGTAGTTTTACATTGTAGTGTGTAATTAGTATCTTAATTTGACTGCAATACTGTGTTTAATAAATTATTGTTCTTGTCTGCCTTTCCACATATGCATGACTGTGATTTGTAAATGTCTTTCTATTCAATGGTTTCTGTTTATGTCTAATTGTCATCTTTGCTTTGTGCTTGTAACATTGTTTAGTAGATGTGTAGTTTAAATTCCAGCACTCATTAAGCATTATGCCATTTACAGTTGAGCTACATGAACTTTATCATCATTCAAAATGTAATATTAATGTTAATCAATTTTGCCTTTGTATATCTTTCTTCCTTTGAACCAAACTTAGGTTGATGCTATCAAGCCTCATTTTAGCCAATGCCCCTTTGAGTTTGTTCTAGCTCTCAGGCATGGGCAACCTTTTTCAAGCAGTGGGACACATAAGATAAGGCTCATTATAAGGCAGGCCACACTACAAAAAATTACCATGAATATTTTTAGATGCACATGCATCTTGACTGATGAGAACCAAAAATGGTTATGAACAATTCTATTTACAATCAA